AACCCTAAATCTCCAACCCTAAACCCGAAACTCCAAACTGTCCAAGTATCAGCTTCGTGGAAGAGCTCCGACATCTTGGCCACATGCGCGCGCATAGCACGCATCTTTTCGCGAACCATCACCGTGTCATCCAAATAGGCAACTTTGAAAGTTTCCTTAGGCTGGATTGCTGCTAAAGGCCTTTGATGAAGTTATCAGAATATGGGTAATGTTGATATAATGCAGAATACGGGTTCCTTGTTGTAGTGACTTATGTCAAGTTCCCCAGTACTAACTCAGTAAGTGAGGCATTGAGGCTTTCAGCTCCTGGTCTAACACTACCATCTTTTTAGGTTCAGGACTCAGGGTGCCGGGCTGTGGGTTTAGGGCTTATGATTTCCGACGAAGGGTTTAGTAAAAGATGCAAGTTCGGTCTTCCTTGTACTTTGAATGAACCCTAAGGGTCCAAGTACCTTAAAATCATATACCTTCCCCAAAACCTGTACGATAATCACCATTACACAAAACCCAAGTACCAAATTATTGGGTACTTGGACCCTCTGAAAAATAGACTAGACCCTAAAGCCTAAACCCATGGGCTCGGGCCGAGGATGAAGGAGTTGAGGCCGCTCCGAATGAAAAAATCTAACCCATTGGGGTTATATTGGGATAATGGAAAATCAAACGGAAACCACTATTCAGGGTGTAGGGTTTAGGGTTTATGTAGATGAGTGTGTGGAGGTTTAGGAGTGTTCGTTTTTGAGGTTTGTTGCTTGAGGGGGCTTCTTCTTGGATAGGGTTTAGGATGGTTTAGGGTTGACGGTCTACGGAAGGCACTGAGGTTGTGGGACGTTTATGCTATACATGCGGCAAATGTTGATTTGTGCTACAGCTTTACATGATGGCCTGTCTCCTGGTTGCTCAGGCCTCTTAAAACTATATTTGTACGAACGATAAGCAAGAAACCGCAGTAATTTCTGAAATCCTTATGATGACATTGCTAGCAATCACTAACCGAGCAACCTGCATCAGCACGGCATTTATCACGCCAATGACTGCAAAGCCCACAGTGAGCTTATGAAGAAGGCAGGGAAGAATCCACCACTCGCTGACCTCTTGCAGGGCGCATGATCTAGCCAACGGGGTTTGTTTGCAGGACTTCCAAAAGGCTAAGCTTGAAGCCCATCATTGAGCAATCAAACCCAAACCCCTCAAGGCCATGTCCACTCTGGGGGAAGGCCTGCCGCAGCTTTGGACAGAAGCATGTAGGGTTTAGCGTGTAGGGTATAGCCCATGATTCTTGGATCGCAGCATAGGGATACTGACAAAGGCTCCATAGGCATTGTGCTGCGCGACCACCACCAGGTAGAAGGGGAACCACACAAAGAGGGAGTAGAAAAAAAGTCAGGGCAAGAAGAGTATTCAGACTTGTAAAAACATAACCATATGAGCTATAGTCTAAACTCCTAGTATCCCCCTTAATAACCCCTATAGTAGTCCACTATATATATCCCTATATAACCCCCTTTAAGGAGTTTAGGCTATAGCCCATATAAACCCTTGAACCCTAATGCATCTCCAATCAACCTCGAGGACCCATAAGCCCATAAGCCACCCTCCCTCATAACTATCGCAGAAAACAAAAGGATCTAACGTTCACTCTGCGAGTGCTTAAGAAACCCCAAGCAAGTCCAATGAGACACGATTTTTGAAAGGATGGCTTATGGCTTCGGTTACCCACCGGAGCCACGTTTTGTCCCAACCCAAGTTTGTTCTGCTGCGCGCCTCTTCGACAAGCAGGCGACAAACTGGCGGCCAGTTCGCAAGTGTCAGCTCGAACCTAGCGATGTTTCGAAGGCGGTACCCTAACGATGGAGTAACGCCATAGAAAGAAAGGACTCGTTTCCTTAGAGCTCGAACCTAGAGAGATGTCGATGCAGCAAACTGACACAGGTTAACTGCAATGAAGAGGGGCCAGACCCTACTGTCCAGCCACCCTAAATCACGGCTAACCAGCGTCGAACCTAGAGAAAGCGATGATACTTGCGCGGACAGGGGTAGAATGCCGAGCATAAACACCCTACTCCCTAAACCCTATCTGGACCGCAAGAATGGCTTCGAGGAGTAAGCAACAAACCATGAGAAAGGAGGGATGAAGCCCAAAGGCAGCCCAGGACCTAACCTACTACCCAACCTACATTTGGTAGTTTCCCAAAATAAGGTAGATCCCAAAATACTATAATCCTTATTATGGGACTCACCGATAAGGTACCCCTAATTTTGGGAAACCCCATTTACCCCCAAGAATCCACAAGGATTTGCTGTCTGACCCGAGGATGCAAGCAAAGCATGTTCTCATGACTTCGGGAAGTCTGCACTTCCACTGGCTGACGCTGCAACTGCTACCACTACCTTGCTTACGCTACTAGACTGCCAATCCAGCTAGCTACCACCCTAAACCCTAAACCCTAAACCCCTAAACCCTAAACTCTAAACCCCTAAAACCCTAAACCCCAAAACCCTAAAACCCCAAAACCCCAAAACCCTAAACCATAACCTACAAATAGTCGATCTGAAGGACTCTGGTCCTGCCTTCTTGGTGGTTTGCTTTACAGGGGCCTCTGTGAGGACCCTCATGTAAAGAGCCCTAGATTAAACCCCCTTAATAACAAGCAAGACCTGAACCCCAAAGGTATGTAGAATCATTGCATTTTGTGGTATTATTAAGGACTTTGCGCTATTATTTTACCTACACTTGGGGTCCAGATATAGCAAAAACACAAGGACGAAGCCAAAAAGCCCAGAACCCGACACCCAGACACCCACCATCACGCACATGGCCCACTAAAGCTCACCCTTAATTAGCCGTACCTGCGCCCAAGTAGCGCTAATGATTGTAGAACCTTTGGGGTAGGGGTGTAGGATAGAGGGGCGTGGCGGGGAAACCCAGACTATTGCCTTTGAGCCAAGCAGCAACGACAGGAAGGAACGGCTGAAGGTCCCAAAGTACATGTAAACCTCTCTTCCCCAATAACCAAGGCTAAAAAAGTTCAAACTTTTTTGTAGAGACCCAAAAAGGAAGCCCAAAAAGGTTAAAGTTCTTCCATTGGCTAGGTAAGAAACTCTTTGCTGGGCCTCCTGGTCAAGTGCATCTATCTTGAAGTAGTAGCCTGGCTCGTAAGGCTGCCAAGAGGAGAGGAGAGGCTTTTTGGGGGTTTAGGGTTATTAGGGAATAGGGAATATGGTTTAGGGTGTAGGGTTTAGGGTTTAGGGGGTTGTCCTTGGCAAGCTTTATCTCGGTTGGCCTTTGGAACCCTTTGAAAAATATTAGTATACAGGGTCCTTATGAAACCGATTAGGGAAATTATTTAAGTATCCCAAAGGCCAACCCAGTCATGCTTGGGGATTTGGGGTTTGGGCCTGTGGCTTTGGGCGTGGAGATGGGTTTATCTCCCGGGTTTTGACACAGGCTCACACTCACATAGGGTAGGTTCCGGTATCCCTTGACCTACCTACGGAATAGGGTACTGTGGATACGAAACTTCTTGTATACCAAAACATCATAATTCCGTGTAATTCCCAAGGTTGACGGCATTTCAAAAATGTCATAATTCCATATAACTTCCAAGGTTTAGGGTATTTAGGGTCATGCAGGATCTTTAGCGTCAAGAGTGGATCCCTGACATGGTAGCTGTTCAAAATACCTGTCCCCAAAATGGTCATAATGTAGGTTCCCTGTTTGTTAGGATCCCCTTTTAAGGAAGTGTATTCCCAATGGTCCCTTCCTTACAAGGACCATTAGAACAACCCCCACTTGGAATGATTCAGGTCTGTGGTGTGGTTCGGGACCGGAAGGACTGGCACTTTGGTAGCTCCTGCTCTTGTAGGGAATAAGGGAATATGTCATATGAGCTGTAATCTAAACTCCTTAAAGGGCGGTTATATAGGGGATTATATAGGGGACTACCATAGGGCTTGTTAAGGGGGATACTAGGAGTTTGGACTATGGCTCATATAAGGGTTTAAGGTTTAAAGGTTTAGGGATTAGGGACTCGGGTTTAGAGTTTAGGGATTAGAGTTTAGGGTGGGTAGAGAATAAGAAAATATATTATAATTGTATAGGGAGTACATAGGGATTGTATTCCTCTATTCCCTACTAACCACCTGTCAGTAATGCAGAAGACTGAATGATTAGCAACATTATAACCTCTTATACCACCTATATCATTATAGCATAACATGCCCCTAAAATCCATGCTCCTGCTCTTTAGGCCCCTACAGTACACCCCAAGTCGTGAAGCCTTGACTATTCAGCGCTTGTCACCCCTAACTGTAAATCTTGCACCCCAGAACCTTTATTCAAACCAGAGCCCGTTGAACCCGCACACGCCAAAAACAAAACCTGAGCCGCCACACTCCCAAGGAGAACCAAGCAGCTGTACAAGATCTGCTGCACCGCTAAAGCCAGGAGGAGATGACAAACAAATAGCAAGGCCATCGTCCAACCCAGCACGGTGATACTGCTACCTGGGTTTACTGGGTTGCTGTCGTGGAAGTTAGCTTTGAGTCACTATATTGGGGAAACCCATTAATTCCTACATATATATATATACCCATTATGGTAGCTTAATTTAAGTTCAATAAACAGCAACCCAGCTTAGGGCTGATGGAGTTTATGGTCCTGGGTTGAGAGTGAAGGTTTGGGATCCGGCTGCTTAGGTTATCTTTGATGACAGCTTGCCCGGATTGAGGATTTCGGTGTCGAGGGTCTTAGTGCCATCTTATGCCATCACGTGATCCTCCAATGGGAGAAAAGCACGTCTGAGTGGAGCTCGGACTTACATAGGACATTGCTATCCTGCTTCCAAGTTCTGAGTCTTGAGTGCTCACGGAACAGATTCTGGGTGTATGTGAGCTATAGTCTAAACTCCTAGTTTCCCCCCTTAAGAGCCCCCATAGCCCCCTATATAATCCCCATAGCTCATGTGACAGTCCAGTGTAGGAATGAAACCCTAAACCCTAAACCCTTAAACCCTAAACCCTAAACCCTTAAACCCTAAACCCTAAACCCTAAACCATGGTCCAACTGGGAAGCTTCTAGGGATCCTGGGCTTCTGAAAAAAAATTAGGGTTTTGGGCTTAGGGT